ACTTTCATTATTTACTCTCATAGACATTAACAGTGCCATGTATAAACTATTTGTTATTTTAGATATACACCCTTTATTATTATGTTAATGTGACGAGATGATCTGTCTAAGCTATTTGCTTATGTCTTCACTTACAACAACCAAAATATACGTGAAACTTATAAATAAATATTTTTGTGTTCCTTAAGTCTACCTTCGATGTCTGTATTTTCATTTACCATCGTCTCCATATTTTTCTATCTTACTTTGAACACACATGCTTATCTATGTTATAATATATATATAGTAATAGAAGGGTTATGTCGAGCATGTTGAATAGGGTGTAAAAACTGACATTGGCAGATCTTTCCTGAACTTGGTTAAAAAACGCTTTCCTGTAGGCAGCACACTTCACAAGTTATTCAATAAAAATGATGTCGATGTTAGCTACAGTTGTTCTAGAAATATGGCGAACATCATCCACTCCCACAAACGAACCATCTAATGCATGCAACTGCCGAAAGAAAGATGAATGGCCCTATCCAGAAACTGAATCGCATCTTCAATTATCTACAAGGCCACTGTAACCACAAATGATGACGTCAAAGAGTACATCAGACTTAAAACACCACACGTTTAAAACTAGATTTACAAATCATAAGCACACATTTAGATCTCCGAAGCATAACAACATCACCGAGTTATTATTTTTTTTAACTTTGGAAATTCCTCCAATGGACTTTGAGATCTTATTTGTTTGCAATGTATTTTATATGGCTTTTTCAACCAAGGTTTTATAGTAACACAGCAAGGAAAGTATATTCAACCTTTCTCTCTAATCGAACGTTGTTAAGTTGAAGTAGTAATACATCTAATCGAACATTGTTAAGTTGAAGTGGTAATACGTCCACTAAGCATCTATTCTGATTGGGTCTGGCGGTTTGGTTTCCCAGCCTTGAAGTTGTGGTTTCAATCGCTGTGCATTTTGCTTGTGTCCTTGAGCAAGTCACTTTATCTGCATTGCTTCTCTCCGCACAGGAGTATAAATGGGAACCTGGTGGGGTTGCCTGCTCCTGCACTGACTACCAGCAGCAACAGTTAGCATGTGGACCCGATGACCAGTTAAAAGAAGTGCGCTTTATAACCGCAAGAAAGAGGTGCATTATAAATGCCAGTACCAGTACCAGAACCAGTACCGGTAAGTGGTCAGAAAGAACACCAGAGGAAAACTTGGTTTCAACATGGTTAGAGAATATATTGTCTATAATGTTCATAGTGTTATTCTTGTCGGTTTTGAGATAAAACGGTAAAAGGAATCGGACATCATACAGTCAAATAAAATCAATTGTGGGTTTATAATGTTCGTAATGCAGCAGATTAATGTTGAAATCACTGATATGTGACAATTTTTCCTCTCCGAATTAATTTTAATCAGAGAATCCTCTATGGATAAATTAAAGTGTCTGATTGAGAGGTCAGATGCTCTAACGATTCCGAAAATTGTGTTTTATTTATTTTTTTTAGTTCTACAAAAAGGGTCTCGCATGTGTTACTCGAGACGTTTGAATCGAGGCGCTGCTCTGCAACAATATTTTCATTTATAAAAATACCAACACCGCCGCCAGTTTTTCCCAACCTGTTTTTATGAAAGAATTTATAACCGATAAAAGGTAGAGTGGATGTCCGATTTAGCCACATTTCAAAAATACTAAATGATTCAATGAGTTAATGCACCAAGTAATCTTGTGTTTAGCAATACTTCTAATGTTCAAATGAAGTAGGGATAGTTCAACTTTGGTATTGGTACTAAATTCAATTGAATCATAGTACCGTACTCGCGCGAATAAGCGCCCCGTTTGAATAACCGCCCCTCCTAACTTGAAAATTTCCTTAAGCGCCCCCTCATAAGATTTTCTTTTTAGCAAATCAATAATCCAATCAATCCTGGGACTGTGGTTGTTGGCATGCTTTGAGCTGTAGAGTGGAAACACATTCTTCTTAGGTCAATATCAAAATGAGGATATTTCTCTTGGACAGATGAGAGCACCGATTCCTGGACAGACAGTATATTTCCAACTTTACTCTTTTTTTACATATTTGTCTATGTCTAGTCCTACTCCTCTTTTTTCCGACCTTTAGCACATTCTCATCTGAGTTTTCAAGAAAAAATACAATGATCCTGCCATCTTGCTAATCTCAATCGGCCGATGGCAACAAGCTAACCACTACCCACCACCACTAATTGCATCTGCTATTTTGCTGTTATGTAATAAATATTCACGCATTCTTGTCATGAGCTATGTTCTCTGGACGATTGTCTTTTCTAACCACCATTCTTAAAGTCCTTATATAATCTTTTTTCATTGACAATGCCTCTTAAATTTAATAATTTCCCATAAGAACTCCTCGATTTTAACCTATTTCCATAATCGCCCCCTCAATTTCCACTCTGTATTCATAAGCGCCCCGTTCAAATAAGCGCCCCGTTTGAATAAGCATCCCTCAGAAAATGCAAAAAATATTTTAAGCGCCCGAGCGCTTATTCGCACGAGTACGGTAATTACATTCATCCAATGTGTTGAACTTTTTTTTTATTATGCTGTTACGTATAATTACTATTATCATCAAATCTACTCGTTTATTCAGTATCAGCCAGGGGATTAGAGCATAGGCTTGGGTCTCTGTAGTATACTACTAGGCTTAAGCAGTTTGATTTTGAATAATATTAAATGATGTAGGCCAATTAGTAATGAAGCTTAAAACAGGATTAACACGTCGGCATGATTGCTTTGAAATCGGCTAAAACCGATTGTGTCACTGACAGATAGGCCTATACCTTCATTCTCATGTGAACAGTAGAGCAGTCACTCACACTACAAAGGCCTTTCGTAGGCCAGGCCTTAGTTATATACCAGTCAGAGGTATGTAAACACTGTTATTTTTCACAAATGTTTTTTAGTAATGACGATATATAGTCTAAAACGAAGGCAGGTCGACGACTATAGGCCTAGTTTAGGTCTAGACATAGGGTCTAGGTAGATCATGGATAAGCTTATAGCCTTATTATATTTGGAATTCGTTGAGATCGTAGGCCAACTTGGAAGAAACTTCGACTTTTATTTGGACATTACAACAATTATGAAGTCATATTAGCAATTCACTTAAATTTGTCAAATACCCATAGCTTCCCCCACCGGGGGACTTTTGGCGGCCCCTGCCCCCCTCCATCTTAAACGCTCACTTTAATCGCATCGTACAACCAACCATTGCACGACGAATCCAACTCCGCTGCCTGTATTTGTTTATTTATTTAATCTTTCTTTATAATGTAGGCACTTTCAATACTATAGTACTGATTTTCAAAGTGGTACAGTGACGAGAAACATACAGTAGAAATAAAACAAAGAATAAAATAAAACAAAACTTGAAAATACTATTTTAAATGATTTTGGAATGAAAAAGTTGACATCTCTTTGTGTGGTAGTTCATTCAAGATTTTTGATGATCGATATAAAAAAATTCTTTTTCCCTGTCCAATATTATACATTGAGAGAACCAGGTTGTTGTGGGTTTGGCTACGTTTGCCTTTAGAATGGGTAGTATTGTTAAAGGTAAATTTTGAAGACAAGTATTGAGGGCCATATCCTTTTAAGCATTTTAAAGTCATAAGAAGTAATTTTTCATTCCAAATCACGTTAAGTCTACTCCATCCAAGGGCACTTAAAATATAATCAACAGGAGTCTTAATATCAACAGAAAGTAAAATTCTACCTAATCTATTCATAAGAACTATTCTATTCATAATCTATTCATAAGAACTCTATGCGCTACAACATGCAACACCGTCTGCTGATTTTCGGTGGCAGCAAAGAAATTAAATAGCAGAAGAATGAGCTGTTTCGCGTATTTGCATTAACATTGATGGAACATCCGCCCTCCCACGAGCAGGGTAAAATTTGACTTTAGGGAACAGATGCCTCATAATATTCCTCCACTACCACTGATATAGGTTAAAAGGCAAACTACTAATAAGCAACAATGCTGTAGAAGCAATGGCTTTAGGGAACAGATGCCTAATAATATTTCCTCCACTACACCACTGATATAGGTTAAAAGCAAACTACTATATAAGCAACAATGCTGTAGAAGCAATGGCTTTAGGGAACAGATGCCTAATAATATTTCCTCCGCTACCACTGATATAGGTTAAAAGGCAAATTACTAATAAGCCACAATGCTGTAGAAGCAATGGCTTTAGGGAACAGATGCCTAATAATATTTCCTCCGCTACCACTGATGTAGGTTAAAAGGCAAATTACTAATAAGCAACAATGCTGTAGAAACAATGGCTTTAGGGAACAGATGCCTAATAATATTTCCTCCGCTACCACTGATATAGGTTAAAAGGCAAACTACTAATAAGCAACAATGCTGTAGAAGCAATGGCTTTAAGGAACAGATGCCTAATAATATTTCCTCCGCTACACCACTGATATGTTAGAAGGCAAATTACTAACAAGTAACAATGCTGTAGAAGCAATGGCTTTAAGGAACAGATGCCTAATAATATTTCCTCCGCTACACCACTGATATGTTAGAAGGCAAATTACTAATAAGCAACAATGCTGTAGAAGCAATGGCTTTAGGGAACAGATGCCTAATAATATTTCCTCCGCTACATCAATGATATAGGTTAAAAGGCAAAATACTAATAAGCAACAATGCTGTAGAAGCTTAGGGAACAGATGCCTCATAATATTTCCTCCGCTACACCACTGATATAGGTTAAAGGCAAACTACTAATAAGCAACAATGCTGTAGAAGCAATGGCTTTAGGGAACAGATGCCTAATAATATTTCCTCCGCTACACCACTGATATAGGTTAAAAGGCAAACTACTAATAAGCAACAATGCTGTAGAAGCAATGGCTTTAGGGAACCGATGCCTCATAATATTTCCTCCGCTACACCACTGATATAGGTTAAAAGGCAAACTACTAATAAGCAACAATGCTGTAGAAGCAATGGCTTTAGGAAACAGATGACAAATAATATTTCCTTCGCTACACCACTGATATAGGTTAAAAGGCAAAATACTAATAAGCAACAACAAATAAATTTTATATAAAGTAGGGATTGTTAGTTTTTTTTAATCAGTAATACCAAGCTTAAAGGCAATTCAACGAAATTACAATAGTGGGCCTACATTTTTTTTCTTTTAAAATTTATGGTAATGCGGGGAATTTGATTGAAATTGATGATTGTTGGACACTATACCTAGTCCTATTCTAATTTGATCTTACAGGCAAAGTGTTCTATGTTTTGAAGCAAGGCTCCAGAGGAAAACAAGTTTATATGTTGTACAACTGATTTTTTAGACACAAAAAACTTATTTTACGAAACATACTATACGTTAATAAGATACAGATTTTGTATTATTTAAAACGGGAGAAAATGCGGCTTAAACACTCCTTTTCCATCTATATCAATAAGTGTTTTTTTCCCCCTCCGCTCCCTGGAACCATGGCATTGCCAGAGACAAAGATGTTCAAATATGGAAAAAATGGATCAAAATATGCTTGAATTAGTAAATATGTAAAGTCTGCTTATATAAAACTATTCTACGACTATGCATCACTTTATTACTCACCACGCCACCAAACTAATATTTTGCGACAGGTGAAATTTTTTTAGGATACTTCTAAACGGTGACGCCAATCAGAGAGAGCTCAACAAAAAGCCTATTAACTTGTTTGTTTAATGTTGATGCACCTTAGCTGGTATGTCCCTGCCTGAATCATACTCTACAGCTAATACCCTTCCATTAAGACTTTTTCAATGCAACTAACTCTACCTTATGGTTTCTCTACAGGCCTACCCCGGTCAACACAAATTAACATATTCCCCCCTCCCCCACCTCTTGTCCTTGAACTTATCAGAAGTTGCCACTTGCCTAAAAGTTATTCATATTCATGCAACTTTACACTACCATGGATTCTTGCTAAATCAAGCATCAATGTATGCATAGTCATTACTGGTGGTCTAAGGTACAAATTGAATAAAACATATTATAAGATCCACTCTGTAGCCTCCATCAGATAAAAATATTCTATGTAAATTTTACAAAGTATCAGATTGTAAAGATTAATTAGGGGCCTAAATAACATTTATAAATCTTTAAAATTGTCAGAGCTTTTGGGGACTTTGCCCACTAGACCTCAGGAGAATCTGAGCGGCCATCGCCTCCCCCCACCCAATTGCGCTCCCATATATTCCTACCCCGACTCCGCCAGTGACATCGATTATTCCCTCACTTGGCGCCACATATTTAGTGTATTAGGGTTTTTTAATGATTTTAAACAATCAAAAAGGACCCCACTGGAAATAAGTCTTCTTCAGACTTTCTATCCATCAATTCAGCAAGATAACACAAGATAAAACCCATACCGCTGATTAACACTGATTAATAGACACAATCTGGTATAGACTTTTGCAATATTAAATAAAAAATTTAGATAATTACCAAGACATGTATCTCCAGTGAATCCATTGTTACATGTAGAAGTACTCAAACAGCCCTTTGCGTTGTCGCAACCATTTACACATTCACATTTCTGACTACAGTCTGTATTGAGTATTCGGTACATTTCCACGTCAGGTAGAGCAAAATTACACCTATACATATTTCTCCTGACGCAAATCCAGTTATTGTCTATTATTCCATCACGACAATAGCAATTACTATCAGCACTGCAGTACCCGCTGCTTACTTGGACTCGAATTCAACCCTGGCCATCAGACGCACGCAAGCTTGGTGGTTTAGAGGTATGATGCCAGGCTAGTGATCTGGAGATCGTGGGCAAAATTACACCTCTACAAATAATATATTATACTTGTATAGTGATTCATGCCAATAAGGCCTCTAAGCACTCCTGTAAACTAACTTATTTTAATCCTGGTAAGAAATGCAATGAAGAATTGCCAAATTATATTTTTATTCTCATTCTAAAAATCTATTTTATACTCTCAATACTCTAAATACTTTTGATTTTAACAAGCTTCAAACAGTCATGTTAATATTTCATTTAAACAACAATGAGCTTCCCTCTCATTTTCATACATTTTTTTTACTAACTTCTGGCAATACCATTCATATGATGCAAGGTCTTCAACTGTCAAAAATGTTATTTATGAAAGAAATACCCCTTTATTGAGAAGAACATCTTTTATATACAATGAGCTATATTTACGGGACAATTTACCATGTAACATTCAGTTAACACATTCTTTGAAATCGTTTAAAATAAAATATAAACAATTGTTGATTCATTTGTATGCTTACCCTCTATGAATATTGATATATGTTGCATCAACCTATTCACTGTTGTTAGGGCCATATACGACATGGTTATTGAAATATCTTGTGTAAGCAATGGATTTTGGAGCTGGTTAGCAGCTTAATGGCAAACAATACACAACAACAAGAGGCGGGAGATGGATGAAATATTTATAGTGAGTGCACTTAATATCTTACATAATATTATTATTCCATTAATGGCCGAAATGGCTTACACAAGGTATTTCAATAATCATAGATATCAATATTGCTGGTAAAAATTTGTTTGTTCTCTCTGAAACTGGATTTTGCTATTCCAATTCTTCTCCTTACATTTTTCTCACATCGATCATCATAATGGTTAATGGTTAATGGTTATAAATTTATAGAGCGCAAAATACAAAAAAGTCTCTAAGCGCTATCAGGCAAGTGTAAAGATGGAACGGAAACCAAAACCACAAAATAAAAAGAAGTGAAATTTGAATACCATACCAGCACCCAAACCGAAGTATGGGGATACGCCCTCATCGCTGGCTAGAGTTCAATCTAATTGAACTACAGTCAGCACCTGTTGAGTCTCGGCCATCTCGGATTCGGGCGCATCCTATCCTAGTTAAAGCTATAAAAGCTAGCTGGCATGGAAATAGAAAAAAAATAAACTAAAGGAACGAGAATAAGTGGGTCTTAAGTCGTTCTTTGAAAATGGTGACAGAAGGTGACTCACGAATAAATAAAGGTAACAAGTTCCACAACTTGGGCCCAGCAACCATAAACGATCGCTCCCCACAAGACTTTAACCGAAAGGATGGACAATAAAGATTGGTTGAGTCAGTTGTTGACCGGAGAGAACGAGTGCAAGTTGCAGAACGAACCTTAATTAATTCGGAAATGTATTGTGGTGATAACTTGTGAATTGATTTGTAAAAATATAAAAGTACTTTGAATTCAATACGCTGTTTCACTGGCAACCAATGAAGACGACGAAGAATAGGGGTGATGTGATGGAATTTAGGTGTCCCAGTGACAAGACGAGCAGCGATGTTCATCAATAGCTGCAGCTTTCTAATTGATGTTAATGGTATTCCGTAAAGGACTCCATTACAATAATCCAATCTTGATGTAACCAATTATGCATGTACAAGTTTTGACGTAGCATCTTCATTTAAAAAACGCCTAACTGCCTTGATGTTGCAGAGATGGAAGGATACTACTCTGCATGTGTTTGTAATATGTCTAATCATGGATAGTGTGGAGTCAAACGTTACACCGATATGTCGCACCTCAGAAGATGGAATGATGTAGGTGTCTCCCACGCGGATGTTTTCAATGATGGGTACATTTAGACGGCGTTTAGGCTTTATATACAGCACTTCTGTCTTGTCTGTATTGCAGCAAAGCATATTGATAGACAGCCATCTATGAACATCATCAATACATCATCTGTTATAAGACTTCCAAGATAGCAAAATACACATTCCCCTCCCACCATAACTCCATCAAAATTTCCATCCTCTACTTCTCTCCTCATGTATTCTACATACAAGTGAAGGAGTATCGTGGTCAAGATTCCACCTTGTCTAACCTCTTCCTTTATCAGCTGGTTCCGTTAAAATACCTTCTACACTAGGATTAATGCAGATTGGTTATTTGTACAAGTTCCAGATTGCTCTTCTCTATATCCAATCAATTCCCACCATTGACAAAATTTCCGTAAGTTTGATTTATTTTACTCTATCCAACGCCTTTTCATAACCTGTCCAGCAAATGTAGACATCTTTACCATACTCAAGTGACCTTTCACACATGACTCTGACTAATCCAATGGCATCTCTTGTGCTTCGCCCTTTCACAAATAGAAATTGGTCTTTACCTATTAATCCTCTTGTCTTACCAGTCTCTTACATAGTACGTACTTTCAAAGTTATTTTGGAAGCATGTGAGATAAGGCTCTCACAAAATCTAAATTACGAAAATTTTTGGGCGTCTGTGAAATTTTCAAGGGTCTTCGTTTTATAGACAAACTATATGGGTGTCTACAAAACGAAGACCGAAGACCCGAACAGATGCCCACCCCAAAAAAAGTCCATCTTGAAAAGAAGCATGGGATTCTTTTATAGTGTAACATTGTTGAATCTTCTGAGCTTGGATCTGGTAGTAGGTAAGGCAACGGTGTTATTCCGTTGAATTAAATTAGTTATTAAGACATAAATTAACAAGAACAGAATAATAAACTACCAGAGAGCCAACAGACTCTGACATCAACTGTAGACATAAATGAATTTCAAAGAAGCAAAAAAAAAAAAAAAAATAATGAAAAACATGCTTGGTTTATCCAGTAGTTTAGGTGATTTAAAGCCGGTAAATATCCTCCATAATACACATTGATGCTACAGTTCCCTTATTTTATTGTTTTAAAGTAGAATTCCTCAAATTTACAGCATTCGTTTTGAAAAGAAGCCCCTCCCCCCACCTTCTTACTTTGCAAATGTAGCCTCAAAAAGAAGCCCAACCAAAGCTCGCAAAAAAAAGCCTAGAAATTTTGGGTATAATTTTACTTCTATAAAATAAAACAATAAATAGAGCCACTGTTGTTACGTAACATCAATCTGTATCATGGAGTGTATTAACCTTCATTAAGTCACCTAAATACTCTATAAACCAAGTGCGTTTTTTGTTTATTTTGTTATTTTGAAATTCATATACAGTGTACTACTTTAAAAAAAATACTATGACTATGCTATCTTTAAAAGAAGCTCATGGTCTTCTTTTTGAGATGGGCTTCTTTTTAATATTAAGCCCAGTGGGCTTCAATTCCAAGGTTTTACAGTATTTTAGAATCCATTAATTATTTATCCATATTTATCCAACAATTACAATGTAAACATATATTCGTATGGCAGATGCAGAATTTTATTATACTATTGTTCAGTCAATTTCATTAGAGTAGCGCAGTATTCTTTAATCTTTTCATCATGCTTCTGTTCGCGTTTGTAGAAATGAAAATGCCCTGCCATCTTGATCGGTTTCGGGCTGAAGTGTTCATTTAAAATCTGAACTAAATCAGTATATCCTTTATCACCGAGCTTCTCCGGGTTGACAAGATCTTTAAGGAAATTGTAAGTTCTTCTCCCTAGTGAGCTGATGAGCACTGAAACTTGTTTTTCCACGGCTATACTATTAGCCTTGAAATACTGCTCGAGCCGCTCCTGATATGAGTTCCGTACTTCCCTCTCGTCATAGCGTTGAATATTACCAATGATGGTTTTCATTTTTGCATCTGTAAATACGCAACTCGTGTAAAAAATCACAGTTAATCACAACACATTGATAGGTCGCCTGCGGCATGGTCTCTCGATCCAGTCGCTATGGCTCAATGCCAACATATTGCGTAAAAATGCAATACTAGTCTTATACATGAAAAAACTTAATGGGGCAATCTCTGGGGTGTAGGCTTAGGTGAGGGTACAGAATAGGGTATGCTATGATGGATTCCAGAAACCAATACATTGATCATAGAATAAAATGCATTTGTATATTAAATCGCTAAAGGTACAGTTGGTTTTATTTTTAATTATTTGTTACAACGCACCATTATCACAAGTAACACCACTGAAACCAGCTTGACATGCACATCCACTGGGATCAGGAGGACAGAACATTACCCCTTTACAGTTTCCACTCGAAGAGCAAACTATACTGCACGTACGCCCCCAGTTATTATTTCCACAACCTATAATTGATGATTTAGAAAAGGAACATTAAATTTTATCAAAAAAAGAAATACACATAACAATTAACTTAATTTAACACAGAAAAGCTCAAACAAGGTTGTTCTTTCCTCTGGGGCCATACATAAAATACAGACATGTAAATGTTAAAATGTTAAATTTAAAAGTAAAACCATTATTCAGAAAATAACTTAAGCACGAAAAAAATCAAAATTGAACATAAAATTACAACTTTGAAATCGATTTCTTATATTTGTTTAGGTTAGTTGCATTTAGTTGACTATCAAAAAAGTGCATTCCACATATTATGAAATACTTTTTTAAAATTCTGTTTTAGGCAAATGAATTTTAACAAGGGAATTTTAGCGAAACTATATTCATGGTGTGAAAAAATATGAATATTCACCAGAAGTATATTAAGATATAGAGTTTTATACATAAGAATTGCTACATGACAAGCTTGCTTTTTGGCAATTTTAGACCATTTTTAAATGGTCTTAAAAGACTTTCAAATAGTACTTGTACAATTTAAAATGACACAGGATGCTCGATCCTAACATGCTTTAGTACCGGTAGTAAATTTACTTGCCGATTTTAATACTTCAGCAAGTTGTTAATGAAATAAATAATTTGGTACCATATTAAAAATCAAAACCCCCATATAAACAAGAAATATCCGCCAAATCACATTTTAGTGTTTTTTTATTTTACCTGCTGAGCAGTCTTCACCTTGAAATCCTGCTGGACAGACACAAAATCCAGTCACATCATCGCATATTCCTCCATTGTAACAAACAGGACACTTTAAATCACAGTTTGATCCATACATTCTTGTAGGGCAACCTTTCAATTTTAAAGTTTAAAAAAACAGGCGTAAAGCATACACAATACCTCTCACAGCTGACCTATGTAATTGTTTCATACACAGTATAGAAAATACAGTATAGAACCCTGTTTATTGTATGTGGTAGTAAATGACGGACGATTTTACATATTATAGTTAAGGTTGTTGTTTAGCATGAGCCTGTATGTGTTGGCCTATATCCTTCTACTTTCTTTTTACAATGTGTTCCGACCCTTATGGCACCTAGTGGTGCACCGTCAAGGGAAGCAAGAACATAATCTGGCTGAAACTAAAAAAAAATTAACAATATTATTGTACAGTTTCTCCGTTTATTTAGCATTTCTTAGCCACAGACTTCTATACAAACCGTAATTTGCTAAAGTTCATTTAAATTTTTGGCCTACTTTGGTATTTAGGATAAGTAACACTCGATGAGCCTATATTAGAATTTTTGCATGGCCAGTATCAAATATCAGCCAATCGCGTATTCAGTGAGTGGAAGTGGGAGCATACAGTACCCTATACAATTGTGCCAACCGCGTGGTGGTGTTGGAATAGCCAATTTAACAATTTAATGGAAGCGTTGATAATGCCCGGTATAGAAGGAACTTGTATTATCTAAATTTAAATTTATTAACAACCATGCCGGTATATAAAAGAACATGCATTTATATTTTGTCTATAGAACGCAATTTTTGATTATATATAGGCTTACAAACTTTTTCTATTAGCAGGCTCTAGCATCAGTGGGGAATCTAAGGGTCTTGAAATGGAAGGGGAGCTGATCATGCCGGCTAGGTGAAGTAGGAGATCGATGAATAGGTGATGGGCAATAACTTGCAACATTCGGGAATAACATTTCTTTTTTCATTTTAATTCTCTTTTATTCTTTTTACTTGTGATCCACTAGTGATACCAGTGCTACGTTACTGAAAGTGTTATCACACAAACAGAAATTAATAAATAAATAAAATTTAAGGTGATTTTTAACCACATGAGCATGATTTGGGGTGACTAAGGGAGGGGGGGGGGTGAGTGTTTTTTGGGTGGGGGTGCGCCCCTCTCCCACACCTTAGATACGCCACTGCCTAGAATACCCTGTAACTATACTCTACCGTCTGCCACTGGTGGCACCAAACAGGTGTATGATATTATGTTACTATTTTGTTCATGTATAAATAAGGCCTTATGGTTTTATTACTTAAAAAATTATTACAACTCTATATAGGCATTTTATTATACCATTCAGATATTATATTTACTATTAAACTGATTCAATATACCAATTATTAACCATATAGTTTTTCGTAACTTAATTGTTCCGTTCATATCATTATTTTTTAATATACAGATATTATTTTACTATACTGTATGGTGTATATGATGAGTTTGAATGCAAGGGAAAAGAAATGTTGGTATAATAAAAGTGGCATATATTGCATACAAACTTGTCTCTATATTTATTAGTGTGAACGTGTGACACAAATATATCTTTGAACACTAGGTTATTTGCTTTATAGTGTGGGGTCGGGTTGGAGATGGTAGTAGATCTATCTTTTAAAAACTATGTCTACCTCTAACGATCAATCTCATGATTGCGTGTTTTCCATTTCTTTCTCCTGTGTAGCATTCATAGATTCCAGCATCACTTGGTCTGACATTATTTATGGTCAACGAATCTTTACCATTTCCTTCAGGTATACTATTGTTATTTAATTTCCATAGAAAACCAGAAATATCTCTTATGATACTGGTTACACTTAAGGTCACATTATCTCCAACACTGGCGGATATAGAACGTCTATCAGGAGTGATTTCGGCTGAAAATATAAATAAGGTTACAATAATATTAGACTCAAAGTATACAAAATTATATACACACAACAATATTTATTTTATTATTTCATTTTTTGTCATCTTCGGAAAAATATGTTATTATTTGTGGGCTGTCATGGCAAAATGTGTCTTGTGGTACAAAAAATGAAAAAAGAGTTATTGATACATTTAGATAGAATACTATTATGCTTTATTTTGGTCTTATCATGTTCCTAGGTTGAGCAAAACTGGAGTAACATCATTTTAAAGTTCAGATGTCTAAAAATCGCCTTCAGAGATAAACAACTGATACATTTTGTGTTGGTTTTCCTATCAATTCAGAAAAATGACTTTACAAAATGTGCCTCAAAATATGATACCTTTATAGGTAATTCAACTTAGAACTTTTGCTACTACTATGAAATATACACATTAAACTTATCAGAAATAACTGAAGAAACCCAATTTTTGTCAAAATATCTCTTCAGATATATTTTCTTGAATATATCAAATTGACCTGGCGTACCACTAGACTCATTTTGTCATGACAGCTCACATTTGTTCTTATATGCATATTTAAAACAATCAACAATCTCTCTTGTGATCAGTTCACAATAGAGAAAATTACGGCAAAAAAAGACAATTCTTTTCCTATAGCTCCGAAATCAATCCTTGTATAAAAGGTGATCAGTCGCAATTTAGATTAATACCCAGATATTTGTTATTATTTTATTTATGATGGAAAATAAAGAATGATTGATTGATATATATTTTTTTTTACATTGGAGGATCTTATCTAATTTTTATATGAATAATATATACTGTAATGTTTAACGATGGAAGATGCTGTAAACAAACATTTTTGGGCAGTGTGGTGAAGTCATCTTTAGATACAGACCTATTAAGGTTAGATGAATTACAATTCTTAAGACATTTTAATTGATTTCTAAACATATTGAAGACAAAATGTCTTGTGATGGATGAAGTTTTATCTATTTTTATCGCTTTATGTATCTGTTTCAACATTTGCCAAATTGCCATAAAGGGAAGATTTGCGAATGTTAAAATTGAACAGGCAATATTCGGATGTTCAAGCAGTTTAGGCCAACAGTCAATACTGTAATTATATTCAACTCACTATTTTCAGACAATATGACGAATGCTATATGTTGGGATTTTGAATGCTTTGAAGCATTGGCATAGAAAGCTCCAACTTTCTCTTTCTTGGAATTCCCAGCAATGTTAATACGAAGTGCATCAAATGCTCTAATATCACGTGCCCATACTGTTGAATCAGTAGGAAACATTGTACCGGGCCTGACGGCTGTTGCATCGCTGTCATCATCATCATCATCATCACTCCATTCTACTGGATCTCCTTGGAGCCCAGTACCTGTGTCAGTTTCTCTACCAAGTAAGATCTCTTGAGTTTGATCTCCACCCCCAGTATAACCTCCAAATGTTGACATTACAGAGTCGTCAGTTATACTCACAGTTGGGTTGGGTAAGAAGATAGTTAAATCCAGGATTTCATCTTATAAACACAAAGTATAATATAATAGTTAAACATACAAAAATATGCATAATGAAGATAATAATATTATAACAATACAAATACAATATAATAATTCAAATACTGTATAAAATGATAACATTAAATAAAGTGTGTCAGGCATAATGAGATTTATTTTCAAATTTCATTCACATGCAACAGCAAGTAACTTGGCAATTACAAGATGGATAATGCTTTATAAACCAAGTCTCTTTATGCGATTTGAATACCTTTGGATAATCCTATGCAATTTACATGTGTTAACAGTTTTGAAAGTGGTTTGGCGCAGCGGGAACGGTTTAGTTTTCCGACTTTGAGGTCGGGGTTTCAATCCCTCGCTGTGCATTTCGCTTGTGTCCTTGAGCAAGGCACTTTATCTACATTGCTTCTCTACACCAAGGAGTATAAATGGGTGCCGTGTGGGGTTGCCTGCTACTGCGCCAATATGGCAGCAACACTTAGGCATGTGGACTTAATGACCAGGGACAACAAAGTGCTTTGTAACCTAATGAAATAGGCACTATATACTATATAAATAACAAAAAATAACAAATAACAAATAATACATTTATCGCAATTGCAAACCGATGTTAAAAGAAAAAAAACCGAAAAAATTTCCGAGACCCATATTACCGCTAGATAATGCAGCTTTTATTGAGATCGCTCGACTTTTGCGCCTCCGACTCCACAGTGTGCAAATGAGCAAAGAATCAAGCTCCCATAGTATCTATTTTTACGCAATTCTTTGAAGTCCAACAAGGTGTTCTCCTTGGGAGGGCAAATATTTTGTAACTCAGATCTTTCAAACCCTACTGGGCAAACCGGATATTCAGAAAAACTTGAAAGTCTAGGCGTTCGAGCTCAACACGCAGTACTATACAGGGTAGTATTTGTTGAATGGTTTTTCCTAAAGCCAGATTGGGATTCATTCAAAATATTAACTTTAGTCAAATAATCATATAATTTGTTGGTGTACAGCACGTTCAATGATCTTAGTTACTAGGATCTTAGTTACTGTTGACCGGGCATGTGGTCGTATGGAATTGTAGTCCTATTCATAAGGATAAAGAACCCAATAAACCAAAGAACTACCAACATATTACCTTATAGCCTATATTCAGTAAAACATTTGTTAAAATATTAGAAGGTAGAGTAAGACTGAGAATGGGTTGAAGAGGAAAAGTTGATTTGTGAAGAACTGCCGGGCTTTAGAAGGCAGTATAGCACCACTGACAATTAAACAAACATATCTCAGGCCTAGTCGATCGATCAGTGTGCGAGATATGAAGTACAAAAACCAATTTCACTAGAGAGGGTGCACTTTTTTGACTGTATATAGTATACATAAAAGCAAGAGCATTGAAGCGGATGCGATCTATAACCTCTGAATTTGCCTAGTAACGAAGAATTCGTCGAGAAAACGGTAATCTCCTATGAGAAACAGTCTGTATTTCTCATTGTTTTTATTCTTTTACGTAAGACTAAAAATTTAGCCAATATTTTTCAATTGTTTATAATAAATAGAGTAATCCATATGCAGTTTTTCTAAAAAAAATCCTTTTTAGTGAAATTTTGCCAGGAATGGGGCTTTAAACTTTTAAGTAGCCAAATAATACCAATAATGCAATATGGCAGTGAGCTTTGGGGGTCATAATATAAATTGTGATGAAATGTCCATATAAAATTTTGTAAATGCCCGTCATGCTCCAAAAAAAGTTCAAAATAAATTTGTGAGATTTAACATTTAATTTTATCAACACATAAAAATTGTAAACTTTTTGCATAAATGTAAATTCTGTAAGACAGAAAATACTATATAATATACAAGGTTACCATATATATGCTAACAAAAGCAGAGATTGTGGGCTGAAAATAGAATGGACTGTTTAGGCAGTTGGGATAAGAAACGCTTTAGATAACTTTGGATACATGTGGAATGTAAATGATAATTTCTTAAATATTTTCTACAGAGCGATTATATGATGTTGCATTACCAACAGATTTATTTAGATAAAATATTGACTCAAATTTTTTGAATTTAAGACTTTTATCCCACGCTTCTTTTTGTTAAATTACAGACCCTATATACAACGGATTAGAAACGATCGAAACCACCCGCTGCGCTCATATACCTACAACACTGCATACCTCGCTAATTGGATAAGTGGCTGAGGATAGCCTTGTAACTGCCCCGGTGCAATTTTCGCGCACCCTCTAGTGTCCAGTTCCTGTAAAGTTCGGGAAGATTTTGGGACTCTTATCTTTTATCGTGTCTAAATCCTTCTTTTATTATACCTTCTACCCCCTTGCTCGTATTGATATCATCACAGATCCTATAGGGTCCAAGGTATCATCATATACCCTATAGGGTCTGTGATATTAAATAATAAAATTATGTAATGTGTATCATAATATATGTAGGCATAATTTATGTTTCTTATTTAAAGTATTTTATTACTTAATTTTCCACTTTATTTTATAATTTAAATTTTTAAATTTTAACTTTCATTTTAATGACTGTTATCCATTTTGAAGTCTTATTGTTGTTCCTTATTTTATTTGTATTTTATGTCCTGTATATAATATATAGATTTATTTTATGTTGGAATTACTGACTCCTGAGTCAGGTGACTTTTGTCACTTTAGTTTTTCCTGACCATTTGTTTTATTGTTTGTTCTAATTATTGTACAGTATTGCTTTTTTGGTCAAATAAATAAATGAAATGAAATATTCTATAGTAAATCACTTATACAAGCCCGATAAAAAGCTGGTTACTAAATGTACTTTCACATTGTTTTTCTGTCCCCTGTGTTTTTGTTGAGGATGATGTCTAGTTCATATCGGCAGTACATTCTTCAGCATTATCAACTTCATTTTGATTCTCTTTTTACATGGAATAAGCATATTGAAAATTTTTGTACCAAAATTTCACAACGTATTGGTGTTATTCGTAGATTAAGATATTTTTTGCCTAATTTTTCACTTAGACTTATAGCAAATTCTTTAGTATTGCCTTATTTTAATTATTGTAGTCCAGTATGGTCAAATTGCTCAGTTGCACATCTTCATTCACTCCAGGTATTACTAAATAAACTGGCCAGAATTATTTTGTACGCTGATATAAGAACGCCTGTTTATGATCTTATGGAATCACTAAATTGGAAGCTTGTGGACAAACAATGGGAATATAATATTCTTGTAATGACATTTAAATGTTTATCAGGAACTGTTCCAGCATACTTAACACATTTTTACGAATTAATCGATGAATATCATAACATAAATACAAGAAGCAAATCAAAAAACACTTTGATCTCACCAAAATGGCAGAATGATTTTGGAAAAAGAACATTTAAATACCGATCCGTTAATTTATGGAACAATTTATCATCAGATATCCGCAGTAATATTCATTCTATTTCCCTACAATCCTTTAAAAATCTAATTTAATTTACCAATCTTTTTTCTGCTTCTTATATTTATGTAACTTATATATTTCTTTATCAATTCTGTTTTTAATTTAAAGTAGTTTAAGATCATACCCTGGACCTCAGGGAAGAACAGTGTACTAATACTGACTGAGTATCCAGAATAAAGAAAGATTTCTATTCTATTCTATTCTATTCATTTTCACCAAAAAATTTATCCCAATTAAAATCTTCAAAGTCATCCATGTTACCGTGCCTTTGTCCGAATACCAAATAAGACTATTGTCTAACCACAATCTAACTGCATTGTATTATGCAAATTAGCTTGAAGATATCGCAACCCAACATCACGGAATCGCTGATAGTAACAATAAGCAACATCCAAAAATATGCAAATAACATACTGTGAGCCAGTGCGTAGTAGTAGACATGGCGTGTGAACATTCGACGAGGGACAGAATAAAACATGAATTAAACTGATTTTTCTGTTAAATTTCTTTATTGAATATTATTGTAGCCTTCTTATAATCATATTACAAATTATACAACAGACAAATAAAGTAATGGTTCTGAAACTGCCTCATCGATGTTGGTCGTTTTAGGTTAGATCATAGTAAGATTACATATTCATATCTGTGACCTAGGCCTAAGTGCTGCTGGTACTCATCTACCGCTGATCAAATTGAAATCAGGTAATCAGTGCTGTCTGTCTGTTAAAAAAAAACAATCTCACATACAAAATTCAATATTAATTAAATTACATTAGTTTAATACAACGAAAACTATCCGATGTTCCATTTATTCTCTATAATCATGGAGGTATGATATGATACCTCTCATTGAACTTGAACACAGAGTCATTCTTCAGTAAAGTGCCATTTTCCCGTCCCTCTGTTTTGATGTAGTATAAATTCTAAAATATTAAAGGAAGTTTTATTTTTATTGCGTTAATGCAATCTTGAACATATTTGTTAATGAAATAAGTTGTTAAATATTTTAAAAGTAATCAACATGCTGTTTATTTTTCAACAAAAAACCTCCAAAGTCGCGCACTTTGCATGTCCCGATTGGATTTCTTAAAAATTCCTGTCATAATTTGTAAAATAAATAACTTAAATAAATAACTGTACCACAAAAAGGTGAATACAATAGATGTCTTACAAATTTAAAATTAAAAATAACATCAATAGATCTATAAATTCTTAAAATTTGACTTTTTTAGACTAAAAAAGTTTGTCCCTGAATTGTCATCATCTCCGCCACAATACTTTAAAATGCCATTATAGCTGTTAGCAAAATGACATAACAAGTTTTGGATCAAACCATTTTGGTTGAAGGGGACCATACAGTAAAGAAACAGCCCATTCTTGTACAGTTAAACCACCTATAGCTGAAGAATTCATGCTTTTCTAATAACAACTAGGAAAGTACCTTTATTCAGCATCATCTCCGAACGCTTCAGAGTATGCTTTATTTATAATTTTTTTAGAAAAAAATAATTATATATACGATCAGAACTGTGTCATTTTCAAAGTACACATGATCTAACAAGT